ACCATACCGTGGCGAGCCCTAGACCAAATACAGCAGGGGGTACCCATATGTACATACCAGAACAGCCCTTTTCGAATACCCTGTAAGATAACGAGCTGCACCACAGGATCCAGGAGGTCATAGTGGGCCCCGTCCTTGATGTCCATCCCGGGGAAGGTCTTCAGGCCGAGCTCCTTGAAGGCCTCCGAGAGCCCGCCCTCGCCCGAGAACAATTCCAGGAAGCCCTGGCCTCGCTGGGCCCGCCTCAGAAGTTGAGCATGCCCAAGACGCAGAGGGGGTGCGGCGGCTTGACTGGTCACCGAAGGTGTTGTAGTGGAAGACGGGCAAGAAGACCGATGAATTGTTTCAGCGTGCGGCCCGCAACCCTGCACTTCTGGCTGTGTGTCACACTCGGCGCCGGCGGACGGATGCCCTGCGAGGCCGAGACCAGGAGGCAGCGAGCCCACTCCCACCACAGTGCTCAAGGGAGAGGGAGAAGTAGAAATTGTTGAGGCTTCGTCGTGAATATGTTTATGATGACCTTTGTCGGGAGAGGAGTGTTCAAACCGACGCGAAGGGGCGTCGGCCACATTGTACTTCGTGTTGACATATCGAAGTCTCCATCGCACCCTACACCCTATCGTGTAGGCCGCCGCGCGCCGGCACTGTGCGTTCAGAGCTGCTGAGCGGCTAGACCGCCCTTTCTCCAGGCAGCCAACACAAACCATGGAGTCGACGATAGAAACCAAGCGGCGTCCGCAGTTGCTGCGGACGCGACAGGCATGGCGAAGGCCCATCACAGCAGCACGGGTCTCCTTCACATTGATGTGTTCGCTCGGCCAGCGCCACCTCTTCGCCGCCACCAGGCGGAAGCCCTCGGGTTCGCACCACGCGGCCGGGAGCGGTGGCGCAAGAGGTCCGGCCTGCGGTGGCGGGACCTCCAGGTCGCCCTCACGCCAAGAGGCGTGGCACTCCCGGCGGCGGCGGCGCGGCTGGTGGGCCCCCGCCGACGGCGAGCCTTCCTCCGCCCGGCGCTGCAGCCACTGGCCGAAGGCGGTCGCGGGCGCCGTGCCGCTGCAAGGCGAGGAAGACTGACAGCGAGGCTCGATCTCATAGTCCAGGGACCGGTCGATCACGTCGCCGTACCCCCCATGTCGGCAACATCAGTCGGAGGCACAAGACCCACGCGCGGCCCTCGGAGGTGCTGCTTGAAGCTCCACTTCTCCTTCCAGCGGAAGGCCGAGCGCAAGTCGCCGAGCGAGGCCCTCTTGTACATGAGCCCGTACCCGTGGTCGGCGGAGTCGCTGGCGTACACGTGCGGCACGTAGGGCGCTGCCAGGTCGACCTCCGCGAGCCAGACCAGCCCGACCACGATGCGCATCTCCTGTCTGACCTCGCTAGGCAAGACAGTCCGCATGCCCCAGGCCTCCTCCGCGAACCGGTAGACGGCGGACAGCGCAGCGTAGCCTGGACGGGCCAGCATCAGCAGGGAGACCGCGTGGCCCAACCAGACCTCCATGTGTTCACCTCGCATCTTACCCCGGGCCAGCAGCGCCCGGGTGGCCAGGTCGAACCTCCAGACTCGGGAGGCCTTGTTGCGTAGGCGCCCCTGCTTCAGATCAAGCTCGATCCCCGCCGTCTCCAGATGGGTGACGACGTCGGGGTACGACCAAGTGATGGGGAGACCACAGCGCTCCGCCTCGTCGCGAAGGGCGGCACTGGCCTCACGGGCCACAGCGGCAGTCTTACCCAAGACGGTGATGTTATCAACGTAGACGCTGCCCATGACCCCGGACTCGTTGAGGTCAGGCGCTGGGAGGTGCTCCCTCACCATGGCCGGCTCCAGAGTCGAGCAAGGCCGAAGGGCGCGGGAGGTCATAGCTGATACAGCTTCCTGCGCGAAAAACAAAGCCCAAGACCAGCCCATGCACATGGCGCGCATGCACGGGCACAGCACGACGTCGTCAGTCGCCGCAACCATCCTGTGGAGATCTGGGTCCCAATAAGAGCCAATATTGATGCCGTAGGTGTCCCTGATAGTGGCAGCGAGCAGCGGGTCGTCGAAACCGAACCACTCAGCCAGCCCGTCTATTGAAAAGTTATAGAAGCAATCCTCGACGTCCGCCTCGTTCCCGTGGGGGTCCCAGCCGACGACGCTGCCGACGCCGCCGAAAGAGCCGTCCCCGTCGGAGAAGTCGAGGTCCGCGAGGGCGCCTGCCGACCCAAGGCGAGTGGTCGGAGGCGCACGGTGGCAGGCGTTGGCCTGCCTCGCATCAACTATCATTCTGATCTCGCCAGGCTTCTTTTTCTTCACAAAAAATAAGGCGGCTCGAGCGCGAAGTCGGGGCCTGAACGTGATGAGCCCCAGCTCGTACAGCACTCGGAACAGCCTCCATCGCTCCAGTCGGCTAGAACGAAGCACTGGATCCCAGTAAGGCTTGATGGGATCAGTTGTCTGACGTGTGAACTCCATCTCCCCCTCATCCTTCGCTATGTACTGCGCTGGGTTACGAATCATCTCCCCAGCCAACGGAGGTAGGAAGTTGGCCACAGACCGCGGCCGGGCGCGTCCCTTGGCAACCTTGAGCTTTGTCAGGTCGAACGGCGCTAGGTGCTTCGGCTCCTGGCTATACAGGTCCTTCGAGGCCAGCAGCTCGCGCGCGGCCCCCTCGGCTGTGAGGCCTGGCGGGGGGGGCCCCACGGCGTCGACGCGCTCCACGATGCTGTCCAGAATCCAGTCCTGAACGGCGGTAGGGGCCCGAGCTGGCTGGCGAGCCTGAAAAACTGAATCTGAATTCGGCTGAGCAGCAGCGAGGTGGTTGAGCGAAGCCCGTGCCAAAGAAGCCCGCTGTTGCTGCTCGAAGTTGCCACCCATCTTGCTGAGCTGAGATGGCGAAAACTGCGGCAAGGGGAAGGGATCCCCATGCCTCCGTCTTGAAGGCCTCCACCTGGTAGGCTGTCCCCGATCTTGGGTGACCGCGCCGGGCCGAGCTCGGGGTTCAGACTCGGCCCGGAAATCCTCGGTCACCCCGAGCCTCCCTGCTCCTGGTCGTCCCTGCCGCCCTTGCCGCGGCCACGCCCGCGGCCGCGTCCGCCTCCCTTGCTGGAGTCCACCGAGGTGCGGGCTGCCTGCAGGGCGCGCTGCTCCTCGTTCCAGAGGCGAGTCTGCTTGTAGATCGAGGCGCGCTCCTTCAAGCGGGCAGTGACCCACTCTGTGAATCTGTCCGTGCTGGCCTGGCCCTGCTCCGAGACCGGAGCGTGCAGCACAATGTCGAGCCCGCCGTAGTCTGGGTGACGAGGGTTGCGCGAAACGGCCGTCTCGTCCTGGCAGATCCTGCGCATGGCGAGCTCGAAGCTCATCAGGTTGGAGACGTCCAACTGATCGACCTGGATGGCCAGCCGCACGATCTCGCACATCACGAAGTGGATGTGGGCCACAGCTGTGCCCTCTCCGACGCCCGAGCGTCGCATCCACTGGCTGTGGTAGGTGGTCAGGTCGCCCGGCCCATCTCGAACAGAAACAAGCCACTCCTTTGCGATCCGAGGTCCAGGCATGTTCCAGTCCTCGAATGAGGTCTCCCTCATCATGGAGACGCCCTCGGTGAGAGTGAGATGGCGACGACCTGAGGCGTCGCGGTGATCACCCAGCACGCGTAGGTCACCTGCTCCAGCTTCACGTTCGGCCTTCCACTTCTCGATCTTCGCGCGATCCGCCTCGATCTTCTCCACGAAGACCTCCAGGCCGTTGACTAGAGCGACCCCCTTGGTCTGCCCCAGCGTGGCCTGCTCCACCTCCTGGTCGGTCAGGGTCTGCGCGAAGCGGAGGTGGCCCGCCTCTGAGATCACCCAGGCAAAATGCTCGATCTCCATGTCGGCGTCGCCGTCTCCCAAAATTGCTGCCTGCACCGCCGCCTGCCTCTTCAAAGCTAGGATGTCTGCCCGCGGCACAGGGTCGAAGCCGTAGACCTGCGCACGAATGTTGGCGGGGAACATAGCATTGCGATCCAAAACCTTATGTCGCTGCTCCAAAAGATTGTGACGAACGAGTTCTAAGTCGGGAGTGGCAGCGATCCAAATCCCTGGTGCTATCTTTTTGACCAAAATGCGCTGGTGCCAGAAGAGCCCTCCTGCGTCATCTGGATAGTGCACCAGAACCTGGGGTTCTGGAATGTCCAACGTATCCATCTCGAATACTCTTAGGCGTAGCTGGTGCTAACGGCGCTGATGCAGGTGAAGATGTCGAAGGAGATCGCGAAAGGGCCTTCAGAGCCCGCGTGGTCAGTCCACGCAGCAAGATGATGAAGAGGATGATGGCCCAGCCCACCAACACGCCGATGACCGCGCCCACGGCCAGCCAGTAGCCCCACGGGCAGTCAGGCGCAGCCGCCTCCGCCGGGCACCGCGCCGGGCTCTCTGCCGGCGCCACCTGCGGCCCGCAAACGCAGGACGGGCAGGCGGGGCACGACGGGCAGGACCCACACGTGAGCGATGGCGCCGTCGGGCAAGGAGGGGCTGTCGGGCAGGTCGGAGCCGCTGGGCACCGACCGAGGTACGCTAGCAGACCGTTGGCAGCGAGGTCCTGGAGACGCTGCTGCCACATCGGCCCTCAAGACTTGAGCGAGATGGTTACAGACCAACAAGCGGGCCACACCGAATTGAGAGATATAACAATCAAAGATTATAAATAACACCAACAACAACAACAACAACAACAACAACAACACCAACAACAACAACAACAACAACAACAACAACAACAACAACAACAACAACAACAACAACAACAACAACAACAACAACAACAACAACAGACAACGCAGCAGCAGCAGCAGCAGCAGCAGCAGCAGCAGCAGCAGCAGCAACAACAACAACAACAACAACAACAACAACAACAACAACAACAACAACAACAACAACAAAACGGCTCAATATGGCCCAAGATAACCCGAGAGCCTCTCAAGACGGCCTCAAGAGAGGGCCTCAAGACGGCTCTCAAGGGGTCTCGAGGACGGCCGAAGAGGCTCCAAGCCAAGAGGCCTCCCGGGAGGGCCCGAGGGGCCAAAATCGTTGATTTGCCTCCGGTGTTTGAAAGACTGAGGTGCTCGCCTGCTCGGGTTTCCGGCCGCCCAAGACGGCCCAGGAGGCCTCCCAGAGGCCTCCAAGATAGCTCCAAGACGGCCCAAGAGACCCCCAAGAGGGCCCCAAGTCGGCTCAAGGGGGCCCAACGACCTTCAAGGGGCTCCCAAGAGGGCCCCAAGACGGTTTCGATGCGCTCCAAGAGAGCAACAAGACTGCCCAGAGAAGCCTCTTGGGTTCTCGGGCTGCTTTGGGCGGTCGGGGGCCCCAATTTGCCAGAGCCTCAGAATCCCTCAAACACCTGAGGACGATCACTGGTGTTGGCCTTCTCGGACTCTCCCAGAGGGCCTTGTGGAGATCTCTTGGGCCGTGCTGGGGGCCTCTTGACCTGTCTTGAGGCCTTCTCGGGGAGCCTCCTGGCCTCCAGGACGGCTTTCCAGGCAGCCGAGGTGATACCCAAATGGCCCAAGAGGGCCCAGGACGGCTTAAGGGGCTCCCAAGACAGCCTCAAGACAGATCAAGAAGCCCCCAAGACGGCCCAATGGGGGGCTCCAAGAGGCCCCCCTGGACTCCTGGAGAGCCCGAGGGGGGCAACACCATTGATGTTCCGTTGGCTCTTGAGCAGGGTTGATGTTCTCGCCTGGTCGGGTTTCCGACCGCCCAAGACGGCCCAGGAACCCTCAAAGAGGCCCCCGAAATAGCTCCAAGGCAGCCCAAGAGACCCCCAAGAGGGCCTCAAGTCGGCCCAGAAAGGGCCCAATGATCGCCCCCAAAGGGCACCGAAGAGGGCCCCAAGACAGCCGTGGGATGCCCCAAGAGGGCACAAACACTGCCTAGAGAAGCCGCCAAGGCGGACCCCAAGAGGCCTTTAGAACTGCCCAAGAAGCCCCAAGAGGCCCCAAGAAGCCCCAAGAGGCCACATAAGGCCCCCAAGCGGCCCCAAAAAAGTTTTGGGGGAGCTCGCAGGAGGCACCCAGGAGGCCCCGAGAATGCCCAAATAAGCAGTTTCCTCCTCCTCCTCTCCTTTTCCTCCTCCTCCTCCTCCTCCTCCTCCTCCTCCTCCTCCTCCTCCTCCTCCGGTATGTCCTAGGAATGGCGGTCTGGCACAAGTCTGGATGCTCATATGGTTGCTGCTGCGAAGTCCGCTCGCGCTCGTTGCATCGCATCTCCTTGGGCTCAGTTGCCGCGTTAGACCTCCGGATCTCCAACGGCTCACGCCAACGGTCTCGCGTCATCGCGACCTTGTCCCTGGCGTGCGCTGCATGATGTCAGTCGTTGCGCCGCGTCTGTTCGCTTCGTTCGCCTGCGCGCTGTTGTCCATGGGCGCGCCCTGCAGGGCTGCTGGCTTGCTCGTCCGCGCGCTGCCCAATCGAGTGCTGAACTCGCTGCCGCCGCCGCCGCCGATGTCGCCAGCAAGGCTGCCTCGCTGGCCTGCGCCTGCTTCGCACCCCCTCTCGCCGGGGCGTGCTCCAGCCGAGGTCGCGCTGCTACGCGAGGCTCGCGTGGCCATAGGCATTCCGCCACGAGCTGGTGCTCGTCTGCTGCCCTGCTGCTGCCATGCGAAATGCCGCCTTCCACAGCATGGACTCCGGTAGTCCTCCGCATACGTGCGCTGGTGAGCCATGCCGTTCAGCATATCTCCTCAGATCTCCTGCGCAACCAGCTGGCGCTCTCTTGTTGTGGCAAGTGCTCCGCGATGGCGCGTCCTCCAGTTCTGCGGCATGCGCATGACGTGGAGAACGCATGCTGCCTTCCAGCTCTACTGCGCTCGTTTGGCGTCTGCAGGTGTCCACCATCTCGCCAGGTCCTCCATCGCGTCTCGGGTGTCCCTGATGAAGCCTTGGGCCGCCTGGAGCACTGGGTCTATTGCTGGGTCCTGCTTCCAGTCTTGCCCAGTCCCGTGGCCTCCTGGAGGCGTACCGCTGTTGGGCATGGGTTGTTCCCCTCCGTGGGGTTTTCCTCCGGCCTCTGCATTCTAACCCGTCTTCGTGCGGACTTGCCTGTTGCATCTCCTCAGTTGTGGTCTTCTCGAAGTTGCTACTGTCGGCCAAATTGCATCTCGTTGTCCATCCCTTTGAGCCTTTCGCGTGCCATCTCCACTTCAAATTGCATTGGTCTTGACTTCCACGGCTGTGCCAGCTTGACCTCCGCTGCCGTCGCTGCTGTCACCGATATCGCCTGTGTGCTACAGTCAACCAGTACAGTAAGGATGCGCGATAAGTATGCACAGGCCTTGGGAACCCATTTCCAAGTTTTCCGAGTGGGGCGCAGCCAACGAAAGAGGCCAAGGATGGACCGATGAGGCAAGGGTGCAAGGGTACCCTTGGGAAGGTCGGGTCGGGCGAAAGGGGGGGATAGCAAAGGGAGGGGTTGAGAATCAGCTCACGTAGCTGATTTTCACGGCGCCTCCTGGCGCCGGAGGCGGCTATGTATCGAGGAATGGGCCCCTCGGTGAGGCCGAAACCAGTTGCATACAGCAAATTTCGACCCCCCCCTTTCCCAAGAAGGTCCGGCCCGAGAAGGTTGCCCGTCCTTACTATGCGGGTTGACTGTACTCCTCGTTGGCCGCTGTCTCCTCTGTGACAAGCTGTGATGGGCTCGCTGTCCACCACCACCACCACCATGAGTTGGAGGGGGAGGGGGTCCTCCTCCTCCTCCTCCTCCTCTTCCTCCTCCTCCTCCGCCTCCTCCTCTTCGTCCTCCTCTTCCTCGTCCTCCTCTTCCTCGTCCTCCTCCCTCCCCCCTCCAACTTATGGTGGTGGTTGGGAAGCTGGGCGAGAGCTGCTAAAACCGTGGCTGCTAAAACGGCCCTCCCGGAAGGAAAAAAAAAACTTCCCGGAATGAGGCGCGGCACGCGAAACAGTCAACGGACTTCGTCCCGGAAGGACGAAGACAACTTCCCGGAGGTCGATTTTAGCAGCCACGGATTTAGCAGCCCTCGCCCGGCTTCCGAGTGGTGGTAGAAACACACGCCCATCAAGCTGGTCGATCGGCGCGTTGCCATCCCGGGCCTCCTCCGCAGGATGCCTCCGCCTTCTGCTCCCCGTGCCGCCTGCCCGCCCTCCGCCTGCCCGTCGGCCGCGGCCCTGTCCTCCTCCTCGGGACTCGGTCAAGAGCGCAGCCAAAAAGATGGACCCGCGCCAAAAAGAGGATCTCCTGGGGCTCAAACTCCTCCTCCTCCTCATCCTCTCCTCCTCCTTCCTCTCCTCCTCATATCATACTCCTCCTCATCCTCCTACTCCTGCTCCCTCCCCTCTCCTCCTCCTCCTCCTCCTCCTCCTCCTCCTCCTCCTCCTCCTCCTCCTCCTGCTCCTCCTCCTGCTCCTCCTCACCCTCGTTTTCATGTTCGTCGTCTTCAGGGTCGGCGGCACCGGCCGTAAAGCCTTCGCAATAGGATCAAGCAAAGTATCAATTCAGAAAGCTGGGCCAGCTTCTCAGGAGTTTCTTAAGGAAACGCTGGGCCAGCTTTCAGAGCCAGAAACGTACACGATTCACTTCTAGGATCCAAGGCTGCCAATCCCCTCAAGAACCTGAGCCAGCCTTCCGGCGAGTT